GGCGGCGCGATGCAGTGGAGACTGGAAGACGCCGAGGCCGAGCCTCTGCTGCTGCAGTGCCGGAAGATGGCGGGCGACATGGAGGCGCTGCGCAGGAGCGAGCAGCGCTACCGCGCGCTTGTGGGCGACGACGATGCGGGTGACCGCTGTGCGGACCGCGAGGACCCTTCGACGCGCGCGCAGTGCCTGCACGGTATCGAGTCTGCGCTGGCCGCCCTTGGCGTGGAGGAGAGTGAGGAGCCAGCGGCAGCGGCCATCATGAGAGCGGCCGAGGAGGCGAGAGCACGTGAAGAGGAACTGCACGACAGACTGGACGAGAGCGCAGCGCGCGGACGGGCGCTGGAGTCGAAGCTGAGCGAGCTGACGCGGGTCGCGGACAGCCTGCAGCGTGCGCTGGACGGCAGCGTGCTTGCCGTTGAGGACGAGGAGGACGCGAGCGCCGCTGGGGACCGCGCGGTGGAGGCGCTGAAACGCCTGTGCGAGGACTCGGTCACCGTCTCGGCGGTAATGGGCGGCGCGATGCAGTGGAAACTGGAAGACGCCGAGGCCGAGCCTCTGCTGCAGCAGTGCCGGAAGATGGCGAGCGACATGGAGGCGCTGCGCAGGAGCGAGCAGCGCTACCGCGCGCTTGTGGGCGACGACGATGCGGGTGACCGCTGTGCGGACCGCGAGGACCCTTCGACGCGCGCGCAGTGCCTGCACGGTATCGAGTCTGCGCTGGCCGCCCTTGGCGTGGAGGAGAGTGAGGAGCCAGCGGCAGCGGCCATCATGAGAGCGGCCGAGGAGGCGAGAGCACGTGAAGAGGAACTGCACGACAGACTGGACGAGAGCGCAGCGCGCGGACGGGCGCTGGAGTCGAAGCTGAGCGAGCTGACGCGGGTCGCGGACAGCCTGCAGCGTGCGCTGGACGGCAGCGTGCTTGCCGTTGAGGACGAGGAGGACGCGAGCGCCGCTGGGGACCGCGCGGTGGAGGTGCTGAAACGCCTGTGCGAGGACTCGGTCACCGTCTCGGCGGTAATGGGCGGCGCGATGCAGCGGAAACTGGAAGACGCCGAGGCCGAGCCTCTGCTGCAGCAGTGCCGGAAGATGGCGAGCGACATGGAGGCGCTGCGCAGGAGCGAGCAGCGCTACCGCGCGCTTGTGGGCGACGACGATGCGGGTGACCGCTGTGCGGACCGCGAGGACCCTTCGACGCGCGCGCAGTGCCTGCACGGTATCGAGTCTGCGCTGGCCGCCCTTGGCGTGGAGGAGAGTGAGGAGCCAGCGGCAGCGGCCATCATGAGAGCGGCCGAGGAGGCGAGAGCACGTGAAGAGGAACTGCACGACAGACTGGACGAGAGCGCAGCGCGCGGACGGGCGCTGGAGTCGAAGCTGAGCGAGCTGACGCGGGTCGCGGACAGCCTGCAGCGTGCGCTGGACGGCAGCGTGCTTGCCGTTGAGGACGAGGAGGACGCGAGCGCCGCTGGGGACCGCGCGGTGGAGGCGCTGAAACGCCTGTGCGAGGACTCGGTCACCGTCTCGGCGGTAATGGGCGGCGCGATGCAGCGGAAACTGGAAGACGCCGAGGCCGAGCCTCTGCTGCAGCAGTGCCGGAAGATGGCGAGCGACATGGAGGCGCTGCGCAGGAGCGAGCGTTGTTCTGTTGTTAATTTGTTTAATCAGCGTGCTCTGTTTTTGGGTTCGTTGTTGGTTTCGGAGGAGTTGGATGATCGTATTTCGTTGCTGTCGGAGTTGTCGTTTTTTCCTAGCAATTTGTTGAAGATTCTTGTTTCTTATTTTACTTCAGTGTCTGGTATTTGTGCTTTATTGCGTTGTGATGCTGGCAGTATTGTTCATCAGGTGGAAAAATTGTTGGAGTCGCGGGATTATTATTGTCGTCTTGTTGGTGGGGGTGATTTTATATTGGAAACGGATGATGATGATGTTACCCGTGCGGAATGTGTTCATGTTATAAGACGTGCTGTTTCGCGTCTGGCACCAGCAATTTTGGACGATGCAACGCTGCGTCTTCCTGAGAAGCTGCAAGGAGCTGTACAAGGAATAATTCGGGATATCTCGCATATTAGGGCATCTCTGGAGGAGGCTTTGGATTCTGCGGGGCGTGCTGAAAAGGATTTGGAGACTATTGTGTCGGCGAGTGAACGAGCTTTGCTTATGTTACGAGGTGTGGATTCCTCTTCTGAGGCTGTGGATGGTGTTGTTGTGGCGAGGCCAAGCGTTTCTTTTCTTTCACGCTCTCTTTTATCTCAGGCTGGGGAAATAACGGGCAGACTACGTGATCTCAGTGATGTGTGTGTGGAGTGCAACGCGATTGTGGGGCAGGCGCTTAAACGTGAGTGTGAGCAGCTCCAGGTTGGAGCGGAGGGCTCATTGTCTTCCACGGCGCCTATTGAGCCGGATTTTCTGTTTCTTGTCGATCATTGCAGGGAATTGGTGGCGGAGGTTTTCACACTGCGGGAGCAGCGTCGCTCCAGTCTTGCGGCAATTGAAAGGAATGTGGGGGATCATGAAGTGTTGTTGGGTGCCGTTCGGGGCTCTGTGAATGCGTTGTTGTTTGCGCTTGACAATGCCGCCTCCGTGGCATCGCAGGGTGAAGAGGATGGTGACAGCAGTGAATCTGTGGCTAACTTGTGCGATAGGTTGGGGTCTTGTACTCGCGCGGTCACTCGTCTTTTGCGAGAAAAGGAGCACGCTGCCTCAGCCTCGGTGAAATTGCTGCAGGAGGCACTTTTGCCTGAGGAGGATCGGCGTAGTAGCGACAATGATGGTCTCTTTTCTCTTGCGAGCGACGTGGTGCGTGCACTGGAGGCGCGTCGTGTGGAACTGGATAGTATGGGGAAAGCACTTGAGCAGTCACGGCATTTTGCAAAAGAATATCGGCGGCGCATGGAAAAAAATTTTGCGGAACAGGATGCCGCGATGACTGCGCAGGTTCAGACGCACGAGGCGATGGAGGGGCAGCTGAAGGAGGCGACGGAGCGGCAGGTACAAGCCACAGCCAACGCGGCTAAACTTCTTCGGGATTTGTCAGAATTTGCAGGAAGTGTGGCAGCCATTACCCTGTACGACGGCGATGTGAAGGTGGATGATGGGGAAAGAAGTGAAGATGCGAGAGTTGCCCATAAGAAGGATGTGGTCACGTACGAAGTGAGTAGAGAGCGACTTGAAGGGATTCTGGAGAATTGCTCCACTGTCATGCGGACATTGGAGGCGGCGAAGGCCAAGGCCAAGTCGCTGTCATCCGAGGCAGAAGACCTGCGCGGAAGGCTGCGGGAAAGTGAAAACACATCACGTGAGCTGGAGTATCAGTCACGCCACGCCGAGACTAAGGCTGCCGCTCGAGTCGCCGCAATGACAGAGGAGATGAATTTTCTCCGTAATGCACTGCAAGCAAAGGTGACGGAGTGTGAGAGGATTCAACAACAAGTACAGGATACCGAGCGGCGTGTGGATAGGCTACAGGCGGAGATGGCAGACAACACTAAGACGTTCGGCAACGAGCGTGACACTTTATCAAAGGTGCATTCTTTGTTGCTTTTAGAGAACGAAGAGATGCGGCGACAACTGGAGGAGTTGCGGACGGAACAAAAGGAATTACAGAACTTCTTGCGTGGGTGCCAAGTGACGTCACTAGACGATGCAGCAAAGAAAATGGTGGCATTTGCAGGGGATGTTCTCTTAAACAGTCTGGCACTTGAGGAGGCAGAAAATCGCGTGCAGTTGCTGCAGAACTGGGCGTTGAGCTACGGTGTGCACACAGCTCCACTGCTGGGTATTTGCGCTCGTGTGGCAAATGCAATTTCTGCCTCTGAGTTTGAAGACATACCCATGCGCGTGGCAGAGATGCTGAAGAGGGAACAGGAGTTCGGTCGGTTACTCGGGGTTCCAGCGAGAACAGTCGGACCAACGCGCGCCGCTCTTCTTAAAATGGTAACTGACTGGGCGGAAAAGATTGGTGTGGAGCAGCAGCCGGATGCAGGGACGTTTCTTACCGAATTGGACTTTGCCCTTTCTGATTTGCACTCAGGCTATGCGTCTCTCAAAAACAAAATTGCTGCTATTCAGAACGAGCTATATCAATCTCTGTCTACATTGGAGACGGGTGGAAAGCAAGCGGAGCAGATTACTGCGCTCCTGCGGTCCGCCCATCCGACGGAAGAATTGACGGTTACAACAGCGACAGCGGGAGAGATGTCACCGTCTGCTATCCTTCAAGTGGCGCTCGCATCGTTGCGCTTGGAAGTTGAGTGGGCTGTAGAAAAGATTGTTAGCAACACCGAACAGACGCGAAGGACGCTGGAAGTGCTTGAGCCCGTGTGCAGCGGCCGCAGTGTGCTGGAAGTATGCTTGCACGCAGCGGAGGAATTGCAGGAGCGACGGTCGACGGAAGAAGTGCTTCGGGCGGAGTTGGCGAATGTGCAAGCGAAGGCGGAGTCTTACCGTGGCTGCATTGAAGCGAGCATGAGATGCCTACCAGACTCGCTGATTCACGTCAAGGCAGGCGATGATTTGCAGCGAAGGTGCGCTTCCGCCAGTGCGGAGCTGCGCCGTCGGATGGAAGTTCTTTCCAGCGCTCAGCGGATCATTGCGTTGGCAGGGCATGATAATCGCAGTGGTGACCTTTGCATGAACGTTGAAGACATGCTCCGGAAGCTGCGGCAGCTGAAAGAAAGGGAGAAGATGCTTGAGGCGAATTATGAAAGTGTTCAACAACGAGCGTTGAAGCTTGAGAAAACGCTGCGGGCGACAGAAGAACGACTGGAGGAGACAATAACGTTTCAGGCAGAAAAAGAGCGGAATGCGATTATGCAGGAAAAAGAGAAGCAGAATTTGTTGCAGGCTCAACTCTCGGAGTCCATTCATGAAAGGGAAAAGCTGCGTACGACACTAGCCGCCTGCGCCAGTGCCGTTGGCTGCAGTCCTGAGGGTGGATCAGGTGGCAACGACGCCGCCAATAATCATAACAATAAAAATGGTGATGATAAGGAGGTGGCGGATGTACTGCGGGCCATAAGGGCTCTTGCCTCCGCACACGATGCCAGTGTGAATGAACTGGAAGAACTGAGGGAACAACATGCGTTATCGCGGAAGGCGCTCGCGTCCGCAAATGACATCCGTGCTCTCGCGCAGGAGGAGCAGTGCCGCCTTATGGAAGAGGTAGAGCGGCTGCGCGCTGAAATCATTGCGGTCACGGCGTCCAACGAGGAGCATCGAGCTGCGCTTTTGCATCTAACGGAGCAAGCGGAGGGAGTTGTCTTGAGACTTTCGACTGCGCACTCACCTTCCTTATTTTGGGCGTCATCCACCCTCACAAAACGTGCTCCTCTTGTAGCTCAGTGCTTGTTAGATGCATGCAACGTTTTTGAGGAAAACCGTTGTGCTCTGGAGGATGAATTATCTACGTTGAAGAGACTTCACGAGGAGAGTCAACACGAGATGAAGGCAGTGAATGAAGTTCTCTGTGAGGCTCTGGAACTCACAGGGGAAACTAATCCTAGCGATACAACGCAACTTGGTGCAATCGTCAAGGAAAAGTTATCTAAGGCTCTAAAAGAGAAGAATGCTATTGCAGTTGTGACGGGGGCGCTACAAAGCGAGAACGCCACGCTGAAGGCTTCCTGTACCTCCACTGAAGCCAAACTGGAGGAGACGACGACAGCGTTGGAGCAGGTGGACACGCAGAAGCGAGCATTGCAGGAGGAATTGCGTGCATTTGCGGCCTTTGCTGAAAATGTCGCGGAGACGGTGGGTGAGCCGCTGCCTAGTGGTTCCACCGATCTGGAACGCCTGAAGGTTGCTTTTGCTGCAAAGCAGGCGTCTCTGCAGCATCACGCAGAGGAACTTACGCGGGTGCGTGAAGAACTTGATGTCGCTACCAGCAGCTCTGCCGTGATGAGGACGACAATCGATGAGAATGCGGCAGAAAGAGAACGGCTAATCGAGCAGCTTCTTGGTGCAGAACAGGAGCGTGAGGCCTTGTTGAAGGCTTCGGAGCAACTTGTTGAACGTGTGCAGAGCATACTGGATGATCACGTGGAGGTGCAGCGTGAGCTGACATTTGCCGAAGGCGATGACGATGTAACGGTGGTGGATATTGTGCAGGCGTGTGTGGAGCAGCTAGATAAAAATCGCATTGGGGTGGAGACCTCAAATGAGCAACTCGCAGCGCTTCAACGAGAAAACGCCATGTTGATGAAAGAAATTCAACGTCTTCAAAATAGTGCGGCGGTGAAATCCGGGGAGGTTACGGAGCTTCACGAACAACTGCGTATTCTGCTTGAAAGCCGACAGGTGGCGCAGGCCGATCAGTCCAAGTTACAAGCGGAGCATGACAGTCTCTCTCGTCAAGTGCAGGCGCTTTTTACCGACGCGTTGCGTATGGCGGCAGATGAAATGGGGCTTCAGTTGCCAATGTTCACTGACACCACTGCCTCCGGTGCTTTGCAAGGGCTCCGCTCGCTTTTTGATTACATCGCAGAAAAGTTCCGTTCTGGTGCCCTTCGCAGCGATGATACGGAAGACAAGATTGAATCGTTAAAACAGTTATTGCAGCTGCAAGAACGGCAAAACGCCAAGGAGAACAAGATTCTGTACCGAACCTTTTGTGATCACGTTGTAGTTTATACGGGCACCAATTACTCAAGAAGGGAGGATGGCGATGAGGATAGCAGCAACGGGAAGCCACATCGACTTACGACTGATTTTCTTGTTGCCGTAGGGGAAACTCTACACAGTGTTCACACTGAATTCCGACATGCGGGGAGGCTTTTTCGTCGCCTGATTGGAGGCCCAGCAGAGCTATCGAGCTCGTTGCGTGGAATGACATTGCCAGAATCGGCAGCATGGCTTGGGGAAGCTGCCAATGAGACAGTGGAGCGATCGGAGTTACTGCATAACGCCATTCGAGCCGTTTCACAAATTGTGGAAATATTGCCTATTGACCTTGCGTCCTCGCAGGAGCAAGTGACCGAGTGGGTGGAGAGCTTTTCCCTGTGGCTGGAACGAGCACAGCGTGGAATTGATTCTTTCGATCGTCTACTGGAAGCACTCACAAGTGTTGTTCATAGCCATGGCGGAACCGTAGAGGAGACGTTAAGCACTAATACGACCATCACTAGCTTCAACAATTATAACAATAATAGCAGCAGCAATCATCATCATCATCTTGACATTGTGGACACGTCGCTACAAGATTTGAACAACAGCCGCACGGATATTTCATTCTCCCGGTACATTACGGATCCACATCACCGTGCGGTATTCAATGCTGTGCGGGATCTTTTCTCGCAGCTGGAGGGTCGAGGGCGTGTCTTGACATCCGAGTGGCAGGCACTCATGGATCAAAACAATCGTCTCATTCATGAACGTCGTCAGACGGAGGAGGAACAGGCGAGGGTGGAAGATCATGTGCAGGAACTTCGCCGTGTTGTGCAGCGCAAGATTGAAGAGGACCGTAGAGTGGAGCAGAGCCTTAAGGAGTTGGATAGGCATCTTGACATGCAGGCAAGGGAGCTGGCAATGAAATATCGATCGGATCACGATATTATTGTGCGACAATTTACGGAGCTTCGTGGAACGATACGACGAACGATAAAACCTCCGCGATCGCATTCAACAGCAGCAACGACGTTTGGTTCTGCGAGTCATCGAACTTTGTAATATTAATGAAGAAAGGGAAATAACGCATGATGAACAGCCATACATGTTGCCTCGGTCCTTGCCATACCACACCACGAATATTGCTGGCTGCAAGGGCCTTCTATTTTTACCTATTAGTTTATTGGGGCTAGCACTTGTCGGAGTGAAGAGGAAATATAAATATATGAAAGAAACAAACGAAAAACCGCGTGTGGAATCTGAGTCTCTCAGGGTATTCGGGTTTGTGCACGTGTTTGCTTCTGTGATTGTGCGACTTCTGGAGATGAGAATTTTAACATTATTTTGGACCACTTTTTTTTTTCCCCCGCTCTTACCACGTCGCGTGGCTCGGCTTCCGTGCTTCCCCAAGCTTCTGTGCGTTTGCAATTCCGTGTCGTAGAGGTTTTTTTTTTTCCCTTCTTCTTTTTTTTTTTTTTTCCTGCTCATGGAAGAACGCTCCGAGAGAAGATGGGGCACTTCGAGAGAGAGTTCGGTGCAGTGTGTGTGGATGCTTATATATATATATATATGTGTATGTATTTATTTATTTATGTATATTGGGAGGGGGTGGCCATGTGGGGTGTTGTGAAGTGTTTCTTTCACTGACTGATTGCTGTGCGTTCTGGTGTCTTTTTACTTTTCGGTTTAGAGCCTTCAGCGAAGGGAAAGGAGCGTAACGCGATTGAAGGAAATTAGAAAAGGAGAGAGTTAAGGTGCGGACAAAAGACGGCAAAGGGCAGGGGGCGGAGGGAAAAGGAACAGAGGAGAAAAACTAGGTGGGTGGGTGTGGGGGCAAATTGAATTGACGTCACGGCAGTCACGCAGAAGAAGCGTTGAAAAAGAGATGTCAAAAGCAGAAGAAAGAGGTTCGATGACATTTACAGAGAATTATTGCATGAGTTCGCCAAGAAGCCCCACGGATGTGACGCAGCGCCTGATATGCGAGCCATGGGAATTTATTGAGACAGCCCTCCCACAGGGGGAAAATATTCCCATCAGCGAGTCTTTGTTCTCCGTAAGCAACGGACATGTGCGTGTGCGCGGGTATGCAGAGGGGGCGAACATGGCGGCGCCTTACGGCCGTCACGCAAACAACGAACATACCGTCGGTCGGCGTTCCTCGAACAGGGCGGAGCCCACAACACTCGGAGTGAAGGCGCAAACGCCGGAAGAAGAGGCTCGAGGGACATTTGTTAATGGGATATATGAGGAACGACTGTTATCGCGTAGTCATCGGGTTTTTACAGTTGGCACGTGTGCACGGGAGTGTTTTCTTATTTGTGTTCCAGATGCCTTTTGCGTGGATGTTTTTGTCGGTAGTGAACATGTGAGTGTGTCGACAGGAACAATTCTGTCGCACAGGCGTGTTTTGGATCTTTGCACGGGTGAACTTCGTCGTCGCCTGGTATGGCAGTCGAAAAATCATGGACGTGAAGTGACGATTGAGGCCTCACGTTTTGTTTCCCTCGCCCGTAAAAATATTGCCGCATTAAAGTTATCTGTGAGCGTTAAGAATGTTCTTAATACAGACATTCGCATTGTTTCCCGCACGATGGTGCCGGTGAATGCGCAACGGCACCTGAAGGTGGAGAACATCGTTTCCCGCCACACTTTGATTGATGCCTCTTCGGCTGTATGCGTGCGAACGCGTAACAGCTGCAAGCGACTTGTGGTGGCGGCCACAGAGGCGTGCTGCACCGCAACAACGGATCACAATTCCCCGCCACTGGCGACGTTCTCTAACATCGGGGGCGCGTCGCCGACGGGTGTCACACCGGCAGAAAGTTCTGTGACGAGCGGTGGCCGGGGCGGTACATCGCCCCCAAGTGCGCAGCAGCAGCATAATCAACAACAACAACAACAACAACTGCCACAGCAGCAGCAACAACAACAACAACAACAGCAGCAGCAGCAGCAGCAGAAACAGGCTGTCACATTTCTTGCCTCTAAATCTGCAGAGACCATGGAAAGTGCAGAAACGATTTACACGAGTGTCATAAGTGAGTCGACGAGACTGGAACTTACCAAATACATCGCCTTCCTTGGCGACGAAGATGCAACGCCAGAGGATATGTGCGATTTGGCCATACATAATTCACGAGAGGCGGCGGGGATGACGTATGATGCCATGGTGAGTGAAAATCGAAATATTTTGGCAAAATTTTGGGAAGTGGCTGATCTTCGTGTGAAGACTAATAATCCTTTTGTACAAGGCGCTCTTCGTTTTAATCTTTTACATTTGTACATGTCATTATGTCGGGCGTATGTCAAGGAATCCCCTCCACGTGGACTCATGAGTGAAACTAGTAATGGTTTACATCATTGGGATGTGGATGCCATTGCCATTCCTTTTTTTTCGCACATCGATCCAAAAACTGCACGGGCTTTTTTGCAGTTTCGTATCGATACCTTACCTCAAGCAAGAAATATTGCGGCAGATATGGATCTTCCACGAGGCGCCCTGTACCCACTACGCACCGTGGGTGGCGGGGAGAATCGTCCATTACCTTTTTGTGCGGCTTTCTTGTACGGTAATGCGGTCGTTGCATACGCCATGCGTCGATATATCATGGCGACCAAAGACACGGCGTTGCTGCTTTGTGGTGGCGCGGATGTTCTTTTTTCCACGGTACTTATTTGGCTTATATGGGGAACATGGGACAAGGGGCAGTTTCACATTCGATCTGTGGGAGGTTTCGATGAGTACAGTGGATTGAGTGATAACAATCTTTTTACCAACCTTATGGCCCAAAACCACATGCAATGGGCGGTACAAGTGGCGTCGCACTTTCAGAAGAAGCACCCACAGGAGTGGGAAACGTTGAAGGAACGATGTCAATTTACCGATGAAGATCTTCTCATGATTGAACGGGCTGCTTCGAAAATGGTGATTCTTTTTGATGCCAAAAATCGTGTACACCCCGTTGATCAGTTTTTTATGCGGAAAAAGAAGTGGGAATTTGGCGATTTAAAGGCCACGAAGGGATTTCTGATTCATACGTTTGATCCCTCAGTTATTTACCGTCACCAGGTGTGTCGAGCACCAGATGTTGTCCTTGCTTCCATGTTGTTGCCTGAGAAATTCACGACGGATGAGGTGCGGGCGAATTATAATTTCTACGAGCCCATCACCACCAACGATTCCCCTCTTAGCTCCGTGATGTTTACTGTGATGGCCTCGCAATTGGGCATGATTGACAGGGCAATGTATCATTTTAACCGCACCATTTTTGTCGATATTGAAAATGTGATTGATAGCACGGGCCGTGGTTTGCACAGCGTGGCGGCGGCAGCTGGATCGTGGTGGTGCCTCGCGGCTGGTTTTGGAGGCATGCGCGTCATCCAGGGTGTATTGCACTTTAATCCAGTTTTACCAGACGAGTGGGAGGAGTACGAATTTGCTGTGAGACACCATGGTTGCCTTGTTTGTATTATTGTGAGACGGCGAACGGTAACATACGAAGTTGTCGAATGCACCAGCGACGCGAATGAACTTCTTATTATTCATTCGGATACGCATCGGATTCATCTTGGATTGGGCGTACCTCAGTCTGTTCGTCTCTACCGCGATATTCACGTATTTGACTTTGACTGCGTTATCTTTGACATGGACAGTGTTATTGAGGACGTGGAGGATTATCACTACGAGGCCTGGAAAAAGACACTGGAACCTTTTTTGCGGGAAAATGGTATGCATTCCTTTAAATTCACTGGGGAATTGTATCTTGCTTACCTGAAACATGACCGACCCATTCCCGCCCTTCAGCGTTTTCTCATTAAACAGGGGGTGAAAGAATTGAGTTTGGGCACTTCAGAGGATAATATGGAGTGTGACACGGTTTACGGTATATTCCGACGGAAGCAGTATTATTTTCGTAAATGTGTAACGTATCGAGGTTTACGTCCACGTGAAGGCATATTAGAAATTCTCTCAGAGCTTCGACAAAGTGGTATTTCTGTCGGATGTGTCACGGTGAGTAAAAATGGGCATTGGATGTTAAATGAGGCTTCGCAGGTGCTCATGTTGTTAGATGGGTGCCTTGACGGCGGTGATGGTGAGTCGATGTCGCTACGGTGGCGCCCCGAAATGGACTACTTCTCCGCCATGTGTAGGCAACTTAACGCCTCGACCTCTCGCACGATCATCGTGATGGACGTATCGATGGCTTCTCAAAGAGTGCCCTGGAGCAGTTCAAGATGATTGTGGACATTCAGAAGGTTCCTGAGGATGTGACACTGGCGATCCCACGAGTGAACATTTCAAGCCTGTCTGACCTGACACTGGCGCTCTTGGATAGGGAGACAGACACGTGATCACTCTTTTTCTC